GTTTCCAATGTGGATCCGGCCGTGTTCTACTGGTTGGCTGAGTCTGGTAGATTGATGGGAGTAGTGGCTTGTCATGTGGACGACTTCATTTGGGGAGGAACTCCTGAGTTTCAAACAACAATCATTGAAAGTATCAGGACAACGTTCCATGTTGGTAGAGAAGATGCTGGAACATTCAAATATATCGGCATGAATCTTTCGTACAAGAATGGGGACATTTATCTCGACCAGAACGAATACGCTGGGAGTCGTGCACCTATTCAGATTGAGAAGACCAGATCATTGCAGAAAGATGCAGATGTAACGGACAGCGAGCGTCAGATATTGAGGTCTAAAATCGGTCAGATTCTGTGGATAGCACACCAGAGTAGACCAGATATCATATTTGATGCTAGTAACTTGGCAGCGACTATCAAACATGCTAAAGTGAGTGATCTGTTGGATGCTAATAAGCTGATTAAGATGGTCAACTCTGAGAAATTAGCACTCAAGTTCCAATGTCTTGAGGGACAGTTATCAATGTTTGTCTACAGTGATGCTTTACTCGGAAATCGGACTGATGGTAGCACACAGGGTGGGCATCTGGTTTGTCTAGTTGATGAACATGGAAAACTGGTGCCAATATGTATGGAGTTCTAAGAAAATTCGTAGGGTCGTCCGTAGTACCTTAGCCGCAGAGACAGTTTCTTTGGCTGATGGGATAGACACGGGTGTGTTTTTGTCGGCACTGTTCGCAGAGCTTACCACTGCAGTGCCTGATTCCATGACAATACCACTGGTCTGTGTAACTGATTGCAAGTCATTATGTGAGGCGATGAAGTCTACAAAATTTGTTACAGAGAAACGTTTGCGGATAGAAATAAGTGGAATTAAAGACATGATCGAAAGTGGACAGGTTCGAGAAATTAGGTGGTCTAACACTGACACTTAGTTAGCGGATTGTCTCACAAAACGTGGCGCATCTCCACTAGTTCTAATGAAAACTCTGGAAACTGGTATTATTCTGCAATAATACACTTGTGACGAGACGTGAATGAACATTTTGCAATCAGTGACAATTTATTGCATTATGACCTTCAGACAACAATGTTTATAATAGCATCAGTGCTAATTGTTTGTTACAAACTGTTCAAACATAATCATGTGTGTATGGTTTAGTAATTTGGTTTTTTTTTATCTTGTATATTTTTGCATGTCTGAGTACGTTTATGCTAGGGTATGTGTTGTGTGTGCTAACAACAAACAAACTTTTTTTTCGTATTTGTTGTTTATTGAACTCAGAAGATTGATTTATGTAAAACTTAAAAAAACATGAAGACCACAGAGGTGGGGAGATTGTTACGTAGTTGTACCTATCGACCTGAGTTAGAACCATGCCAACTTTACCAGTGTGAGTTATCTCCTTCCCCAGGCGCGCAAATCCATTTTGAAATGGGGGGACACGAGTAGCGGAGCACTGCGAAGGGGGGGGTGACTGGGGCTCCGTCTCCGCAGGTAAGTTTTTTGAAATAGACCCGCTCCAGCATAGTCCGTTTTCTGGGAGGGAGACGTGGGAGAGGGTGTCCGAGCGCTCCTCTGGGAGCCGGCCCTGTACACCCCTGCAGACACAGCTAGCGGTTCAACCACACACACACAACACACACACACACCACACATCCACAAACAGCACACATGCATTTGGTTTGTGATAAGATTACCGGGAAACGGTGTGTCCACCCATGCGAGTGGGGGCGGGCAGTCATAAAGCAAGAAAAACAAAAAAGCGGCGCGGCAGCAAATCGCACATCATTTGGTGTTGAGGACTGATCAAAAATACAATTGGTTCCGTATTATTGTTGGTCGCAGTCATATCAGATAGATCATCATTTGCAATGAAAAATTACATTATTAAAACCGGGACTGCTCAGTTACTGAGGTGTCCTCTTTGCGCTGAACTCTGCCTCGCCTGCTTACGCCTAAACTCTTGAATCAGGTGTCTAATGTGAGCTGATATCCTAACTTTCATAAACATACTTTCTCTGATGATTTCTGCATAAAATTATTTGATATAAGAAAAAAAACGTGTTAAAGAAGAACACTACTTATACATTTATCAAGACAAGTCGGGCCATTTTTCTGAAGTTCTCGGGCCATGATCATTTTTATGCTGCTCACATTGCACTTGAATGAAGTAAAGAAGCTGGCAAAAAAAAGAAATAGAAAAGGGAAAGACCCTAAGATCTTGATGAGCAGGCTATCACAACAGATAAACAAGGGTATTTCAGAACTTTCACAAAACAAACACACATCACTACACAACACACACCCACACACGCGATCACACACAGCACACACTTACCATCAAAAATCATTGGTGATCCAAATCGGGTGGTGGGGGGGGACAGATTTTGATATGATGTCCCCCTTCTGAAAATTCGTGGGGGGACATGTCCCCCTGTCCCCCCTGGATTTGCGCCCCTGCCCTTCCCGTCTGGACCGGAAGCGGATGCCCAGCTCGCGCATGTGCGTGAGGGGGGTTGTTATTGGGGTGCTGTTGTACCGTAGAGTTTGGACGCTCGCCCGAAACTGGACGCTCCTAAGTGTGTATGCGAGCAGGCACCTCTTGTTTTGCAGTAGTCATCTGCACATCTCGTCCATCAAAAACAGTCGCAATAAACAAACATGGCGGCCAACTCGGTCACTCATGGAAACATTTGATTGAAACAATTTGCAATGTAGTAAGTTAGTAAGACTGTGTTATGTGTGTCACGTTACAAGGCGAATCAACAAGAAAACAAAAGAGCATGGCTACTATTTCCTACGGTGGGCATATGTTTCCATGAACCAAAGTATGGTCGTGACGTCAGTGTACGTCAGTGTGACGTCAGTGGCTATCTACCACCATAGACCAATCACGCACGCACATCTATGTATGCATGGCACATCCATAATATGTTATTCTAATTACGCTGAATAGCCGAGCTCATACGCCGGCGTGCGTTACATCTGGTATTTGGTATCAAGGTCGTTGGTTCGATTCCCATCTGTTTATTTTTTTATTTTTCTATCTTTATCCATTTAACTATTTTTTCCCAATTAACGCAAATATTTACATGATTTATTTACAATTTTTTATTACATTTTTTTTTAAATTAAATTTATTAGTGTTAATTAAATTTCATTAGGGTTATGGTTAGGGAGTAGGGCGTAGCACGCAACCACCAGCACCATCAGCAGGCTGTATGCATTCAACTTCGGAGAAAGCCGAGTTTGTGCGTGACGTCAGTGTACGTCACGACCATACTTTGGTTCATGGAAACATATGCCAACCATTTCCTACGGCCCTGCAAAACAAGATTCAAACAAAAAGAAAACAAGAAAAACAGAGCATGCGCGCATGCGCACTTAGGAGCGTCCAGTTTCGGGCGAGCGTTCAAACTCTACGGGACACTGTGATGTGCTGTTTGAAGTAAACAAAGTCTGTACTGTTAGAGTGAGTTTGTATAGTATTATCGATCCAACACTAGGTATGGTCCAGAGGTGGGTAGAGCAACGGATACTGCGCTTGATGCTGCGATAAATACCGGATTCACTGTGTACAACGTCCAGCATATGGGCATAAAGGCACTTGCTACACGAACAGCCAAAGAGACAGGACGCACTGTTGTCGAGGACTACACTGGAGAGAACATGAAGCCCAGTGATGTCACCAGCCACCATGTTGCAAAACGTGAATGACAAAAAGACAGATAGTGCAGAAAATAAGGCTTATCATTATTGTTATCATAATATCATATTGTTATGTGTGGCTGTTGATGATGGCAATGTATTTTACTATTCCAATTTCACCTGTGATCAGTTGTCAGTTGATTGTGCGATTGAGTTGTCAATTGTGTGGTGGCCAATTGAAGCATTTCATGCAAATAATTGCAACAAAATATTTTTGCAGCTGGGCTATATCTGGCATGATGATTTATGAATGTGCTGATCAAAACCCATTTAATGTTTTAATTTCCATTTAATGGGGTATTTGCGTTTGCACTTACAACCAGGCATATTGTGTCACCTACTGGTGAGACGTATTTCTGGTCATTTTCACACAGGAAAAAGACAGGTCTAAAAGCACTGCCTGCTGTAGCAGGATGCACTCTGATTGGTGGTAACTGGATAAAATTAGGTCAGAGGTTAGTGGGCCTGGATACTGGTACAAACCAGGAGAAATCTACTTTAATGCTTCAGTAATAATCATGGTACGCTCTTACTTTCTGCTTCCCGTAATTCTTGTTCATGGTACAGGTTTGTCTGTATGTGTCAGCTAATATATAGTTTACAGGAGCGTAGCTAACCCATTTTGTCTGAGGAGGGGGGGGGGCAAAGCCACGTCCATGGTGTGACCGTCATTGACCATGTATTCTATCTATTTTTTCTGGGGACATGCCCCCTTGCATTTTCCTGCTAGCTACGGCCCTGATTTATTTAGTTGGATATGTTATACACTCTTATTATATGCTGTGATATTATCCTAGTATTAAGGGTAATTTACTTGCAAGTTGTTGTACATAGTGCAATTTTGGAACTTCATTGAATAAAACAAAGTTTTCCATTCATCTAAATATATCAAAATATGACCTGCTTAGCTATCTACAGACTACATTCCCTGGTACATGGTCATGAGTATTATGCATATATACCATATATATATAATTCCAGTATTGAAAATTTGCAGTTGTCTAACTTGTATATACGTCATGTAAATTTTGCCTGATGATAAATATATCTCATTCTATAGGACATGCTCTTATACTAGCTTTAACTTGTATTAATCGCAGTGATTACGTACTGCTTACTAATCGTTTTATCTTTTATCCACATGGTTACCCATGGTAACAAGTACACAACAACAAGACTAACATCTAGATTATAAAATATTGTAGACGTGGTGACAGTACTATTCCTGATGCTAATCACTTTGGTTATTGTCTTGTTTTCTTCTCACCCGTTATTCTCTTGCTCTCCCATTGACTTCACCGTCACGACCATACAGTGTACCTGTAACGTCCACCGAAGCGGAACTGGCTGGAAACAGGATTGCACACATTCGTGTATCAGTGCTGCATCTTTACGTACATGAGATGGAGAGAATGCGTGCAAGCGGAAAGAGAGAGAGAGAGAGAGAGACAGGAAAATAGAGAGGGGAGGTGAGATATGACGAGTGAAGGGAGGTGGGATAGAACAAGAGCGGGGAAGTGAGATAGAACAATAGAACAAGAGAGGGGAGGTGAGATAGACAGAGAGAAAGGGAAATGAGATAGAACAAGAGAGGGGGTGAGATAGGACGAGAGAGGGGAGACGAGACAGAACAGGAAAGGAGATGTGATACAAAACGAGAGGGGAGATGAGATAGAATAAGAGAGGGGAGGTGAGATAGGACGAGAGAGGGGAGGTGAGATAGGACGAGAGAGGGGAGTCGAGATAGAACAGGAAAGGGGATGTGAGACAAAACGAGAGGGGAGATGAGATAGAATAAGAGAGGGGGCTCTCTCCGCCCCTCTTTTCCTCCCCCTCTCCTCGTTTTCTCTCTCTCTCGCTCCCTCTCTCGCTTTCACTTTCTCACACACTCATTCTCCCCCGCTCTTCTCGATGTCTTTCTCTTTCTTTTTCATTCTCCCTATTACTTTCCTCCCCCTCTATCTCTCATACACACGCACGGGCGCACGCGCGCACACACATAACGACGCGCACGTACACCGACAGATCAACGGAAACAGATCTCTCTCTCTCTCTCTCTCTCTCTCTCTCTCTCTCTCTCTCTCTCTCTCTCTCTCTCGTTGGTCGGTCGGGTCGCTGGTCGGTTTCGCCTCGAGAGACGGGAAGGGAGAAGAGAGAAGGGAGAGAGGAGATNACTTAGGAACACGCGTTAACTTGATAATTATTAACGCCTGCGTACGTAGTCGGCTACCCTAGGCCACGTACACAGATATTTTATTAACATAAATATATTGACGTCAATATTGAACCTTACCAAAAACACCGTATATTAGTATAAGATGCTCTACTACTGCACATTAGTTTATGCTGTTAACGTTAAATTATTATTAATATGGAGAAAAAATATTACTATAGCATTGGTAAATAGTTACTCTTTCACCTGTTGTATATACATTGTAATTAATGATTTATTCTTTAGTATTATTTTTTTAGCTTTTTAGTTTAATAATTTCTCGCTGACCATCAATTTATAAAGTGTCTTTCATAAAGTAAGATGTATACTTTTAATTAAAAATTAATTATGTAAGCTTTCTGCCATACTTCTTGACGATTATAAAACACATATTGGTCTGCAGATATAAAAAAGTTGAAATAACATCTTAAATCATTTACATCAGTTGTTAAAGCACTAATCACTTGATATTTCTCTATTATCCCTCCAATTACACATTTTTAGCTTGTCTGATTATTAATCCACGTGATGATTCTATTAAGTAGCCCATCAAGAATAATAGTAGGTCATTACATTGTTGTGCAGCAGACTTTCTTTATTAGCATGTTCTTTCCTGTCTGGGTCTATGTGACACTAAGCCAATTGCTGACAAGTCTCCTTTTGGCCTCTTATAATGCGGATGGTTAATTGATTCGTGGTGTTTATAAAATAGCCTCCTATATTTAAATGCGGTTAATTGTATTGGATGATTGTGTATTAAAACTCACTTATTAAATGCGGGTATTGGATATGTATAATAATCCCTTATTTAATGTGGGTATATTGCTGTGGGTATTTTGATATGTTATAAGAAGCCCATTTAATTTGAACTTGGTTTTTTGAGATTGGTCATATGGTTTATTAATAGCCTTTATTAATGCGGCTGCCTTTGTATTGATATTGTTATAATAAGCCCCTATTAATTGGACAGGATTTTGATATTGTTATAAACCTTATTTAATGCAGGTTATTGATTTATGTTTTTATAAAGTCCCTTATAATGCAGTGGTAATTTGATATGTTATAATGCCTCTTATTAATGTCAGTGTTATTGATTATGTTATTAAGCACCCTTATTAATGCGGTGGGTTATTGTGATTATCGATTATAAAGCCCTTATTATCATGCGGGTATTGATATGTATAATTCACCTTTATTAGGATGCGGGGGAGTCGTATCTTTGTGTTTGTGGTTGATTGGTTTTAAGTAAGTGTATTGAACAGTGTGTATAGACTAGCCTTATTTATGTCCCGGTGTTTATTGACTATGTTATATATAGCCCTTTATTAATGCGGAGTGATTATTGTAGTATAAAAGCCCCTTTATTAATCGGGCGAGTATTGACATTGTGATATAAAAGCCTTATTAAATGCTGGGGGTATTGATATGTTATAAAGCCCTTATTAATGCGGGGTATTGATATGTTATAAAACCCTTATTAATGCGGGGTATTGATATTGTAACGGCGTCGGCCTCTTCTCTGCCACGCCCTGCGCGCAGTTCGCTCGCCGAACTTTTCGGTGTCAGACGTTTCGCTCCCCGAAAGGTGCGCGCAGCTTCGCAAGTAGAATCGCCGCCTCTAAAACGATCATCTTCGGTAGTGTTCGCTGCGTCGGTAGTATTCGCTGCGTTGGTAGTACCCCTTCACGCGAAAGATTTCTCTCCCGCGCGTGCGTTGTGTAAGACTGATGAGATGGTGTGAGGATGCGTACGGTTACAGGCGTACCCTTCCTCGGCGGTAAGATTGACGTGTAGACGTGAGAAGAAATGAAGGCGCAGGCAAAAGTGTGCTAAGAGTGAATGACATTTATTACAATTAACACAACGAAAGAATGGGGAAGATACACACTGAGCGCACCGGTAGTCAAACGAGCAGCTTTCAAAGATCTTTCTGAGTCGTACTTACTCGTTTCGGCGCTGGTGTTAATTCCAGAAACATATCTCCCGCACAATAGTTTACTCGCTCAACGTTACGAGTAACTCGCTAAACTCCGAAATACACATCAGTAGGTTCCTGGATAACTCCCTACACAAACCCTCTACTCCCTCGAGAACTCTAGAACAAGCCTCTAGAAGTCTTTATGTCTATCCCTACCTATCTATCTAAGTGTCTCTATCTAAGTAAGTCTCCCTACCTATCTATCTAAGTAAGTCCCCCTACCTATCTATCTAAGTAAGTCCCTCGTTTCAGGCGCGCAGTGTCCTCTTATACCCAGCGGGAACCTGCCCCATGAGTCAGCCCTCAGTAGCCTATTTCAGCGCACGCTACATAGCACGGCCGCTCTGTCACGTACGCCCACCTAACACGTGATCAACCGATCGATCACTCACTGGCCGAGCCCTGTGATTGGCTGTTCCTGTTTACCAGCTGAGCGGTCACGCTGCAAACTCATTAGCTCCAAGAAACGGTATTGCTAGGGTTACAATGTATAAGATACGTATAATGTATAGACAATCCGTCGCACAGCCTGGTCGGGCTACAAACTCATGTGCTGTTAAGCTTGCCTTAACAAAGCCAGAATACAGGTCTTATCTATCCCGCATAAGCTTCTTACTACTACAATAAATTGCGCAGAAGAACTCTCTATTATAATATCCTTTCCCGCCATTTCTAGCTCCTTTCCTTCACCGCGTCCTTCCACGTCTATTACTGTTTCGCCGCTCCGCTTGCCCCGAACAACTATTCGCTGAGCAGCGGCACTAAATCAACACTTCGGCGAACTCTACCACAAACACTATTTACACTCGCGAATCATTATATCCGTAGCCCGAATGCTAGTCCCTGTACGCTATTTCGCGCCGCGTCCACTGCGCGCGACAGCCACCCTTTCGGCTGCTCCGTACTACCTCGCGTGTTCGGTATTCGGTGGTTTCGGTGTTCGGTACTATTTCCCCCGAACGCTATCCCCGAATTTCGCTCCCCGAATCTCTATTTCCCCGACTCTCGATTAACCCGCGCCGTCACATTCCCCCTTGCTCAGAAAGTAGGGCGTTTAGCCACTTTCCCTTCCTTCTAGTGCAGGTCGCGGCATCGAGATTCGCGAACTACGAATAATACAAACAATACGCTTTCGCTTGAGCACGATTCGCGAACAACAATACGGTTCGCGATCTACTATCTTAACTCGGGATCCGTCACGCGGTACTATACTACGCGTGTCGACCTACAATTGCGCGTACTTTGTTTATAATGAGTCGCGACTTCGATATACCCTATTTACATGTTTTTCGCTCGCCCACACAACCACCAAAATTGAACAAATACCGAGTGGCGATGCTTCTCCGTCTTCGGCCGGAGTCCTCACGGTCGGCGGTCATCCTCCTCACTCAGTCGGCGAGTTACTTCCTCGTCTACCTCCATCTGCTATTGGCGAAGGCGGTGCAATGCGCGGTGCAAATGCTACTGTCCCTGACGTAGATCTGCGTTGCTCATCTCCCGAACAAGTTCCGTGCGGATCAAGCCCACCTCGTCCAGCCATCGGTCGTCCAGCCTCCATGGTTGCACGTCCGGGCTAGGCGCTGTCATGCAGGATACTTCGTCGCCCCTGAGCTGTCCCACGCTCGGATCCCTGATTCGGTGACAGCAAGTCACCGGCTGATTCGGTCGCCGGTCGTCGCTCACGTTCGGGACTCGCTCGGCGCACACGGCTAGCGTGGCTCTGATGCGTATCGCTCCTCGCTGTTTCGCTAGGTCGGGAGGGCATCTCCCTCCCAGCGGAGTTCTCGGACCGGCTCCCCGATCCACTACGGTGCCTCTGTCGACGTACAGCAGCTACCCGTGGCTCTGCCATTCTCGACCTTTTATCAGCTA